GGGGGGCAGGATGAAGCTGACCAAACCCGCGAAGGCAAAGATGGCTGCGCCTGAGAGGCCAAAAAGGAGGTAGAAGACGTTCCAAGAAAGGCCTGCAATGCCGAAGGCTCCCAGTGCCTCCTTTGTGAAGATGCGGTCAAGAAAGGTGCCAATATCCTCGTTGCCAGAGGATGCCGCCAAGGCTCGTTGAGGGAGCGCCACAGCCGCAGCCACTCCGAGAGTCAGTCCAAATGCCAAAGGCGTCATGGATGTAGAAGACTCCACGGTTTTCATTTCGTCAGCTGGTGCCACCGCGGCCGCAAATCCAGCGTCATGGCGAGGGGCTTCACGCTGTCCGAAGACAGCTGGCACAAAGCTTTGCACAGAGGACAAAGCAAAAAGCACCAGGCCGCATGCGATCATCTTGCCGGCCAAGGCCATCTTGTCGACAAAGCAAGTGAGAGGCAGCTTAAATCACGGGCACCGACTAACAAAACTCAGAAAATGGCTGCAGAAAGGCCCAAACATGGGTCAACGATCCTTTAGGACCTTCTTGCGGTCAGTGCAGAGCACCTGCCACTCTTGTGATGCAAAAGTCACTTGCTTGAATTTAGGTTTCAAAGCAGGGTTTCGTCCGCGAAGGCCAAGAGCGGCAAAGTCGCGTAACCCAGCTGAGCCTGGTCGTGTGCAGAAGAAGCTTTGGCCCTCTCAATGACCAAAGCCAAGCCGTCTTTGAAGGAAAATACACCTGGCGCTACCAAAGGATTCGGCGATTGAAGCCTCAAAATCATGTGAGTGCGGTCTTGATTCTGTGAAATGGCTACGACGTCCTCATGCTGAAGCAATTGCATTGAGGGGTGCTAACGGGTTGAGATAGCGAGGCGGGTGTTGCGAATTAGCACTTCAGGGATTCCAAAATTGCAAAAGGCCATATTAAATCATATCAACACATACAGTAATATGCTCAAGTGCACCCTTTGTCAACCACGCACCCCATTGGCCAAGGACCTGCAGCAGTTAGGGCTGCGTACTCACCCACGGAGAAGCCTGTGAGTGCCTGGGATTCCGGCTCTTTGTGCAACCCAGTCCAAATCCCTGCTACTGAATATGTTGGGCATGCTATTCAGTACTGATGGCCTGGACACTGCTTGCTGCCCGGTTTGTTGTCGTTTCCTTGGCAAAGCCTGCCCCCAAAGGACGTCACAATGAGATCTCGTGCGCCAAACCAAACCCTTCATCCAAAGACAGTTTGCTGCGCGCCTGAAAGTTTCCTGCCTCAGTATGAAGTGCGCCCTGATACCAGGTTTACCATCCTTCATTCATGACACTCCCTAGCGAGTGTTGAAAAATGCTTGCCCCTGTTCTCCTGCGCAGTGCTTTAGCATGTGACATCGTGGATATTGATGGGTGCTGTGTCTTTGGCCTGCTGTTCGAGGGTGAGGCCATACTCTTGTTATACATTCAACAGGCTTGAGTTGGGTTCTTCACTGATGTTTTCAAACCGCACCCTCGCGCCTAGCCGAGAATTGTTGGTGCCACGAGAACACGAGGTCATGAGGTGCAGGAAACGACGGTATCAGTAGGAACTTTCCGAGATGGCTATGTCCCGTCACATGACATAGGCATTGGACTTGTTAGCTCCACACACACATCACACAGCACACACACATATATATATATAATTATATACATACCGACTTGAGTGATTCCACCAGCCAAGTGTTCTCAGATCCTCGCGTGGCACTTCTGCGTCTGCAGCTTCTGCATCGCCGCCAGGCTACTCACATAGAGTGCGACCTGGGAGCAAACAGGCTCCTGCACCACACTGCCGGCTCTCATGAGTCAGGATATCACGGAACTCTATTGCAAACCTCTGCGATGGCCTCCAACCTAAAAGCGAAGTACACGCAATGTACACATCAAACACTCAATGTACATGTCTCTTTTGATTTCCACCCACTCACTCTCTCTCTCTCTCTCTCTTTCTCTCTCGCACTCTCCTGTTCTCACTCTCCTGTTCTGCACCCGCTCTCCTGCAGAGTGTCCTCTGGGCCAAAGAGACAAACCTGGCACTTTTCATTCTGGGAGGTGAGAAACTAAGGCATTCATCTCTCTGGCGGCAACAAAGAGAGATTCGATTTGTTGACCTAGCGCGTTCCTTTTTTGCCAATGCTGGTGGACGATCACACAACGTCACAGTGTCTATCAGTAGTGGTGTCTAAACAGGCAGCAACTCTCCAGACACTCATCACAAACATTCCAGGAGGCTTCACTGTGAAGTTCAGCCATGCCAATCAAGATCTGTGATGTGGATGTTTTTGTGCTTTCTTTATTGTTTTTGTTTTTTTCTCTCTGATCTCAACCAGAGTGGAAAGAGCCAAATCGGGCTTCAATGCGGAATCCGCAACCAGCCTTCAGGAGATCGAAGCCAAGAAGTTGCTGCGCCTCAAATTCGAAGTATCCCCCTCATTTTTTGAGGAGGCAAGCTCCTAGCTACTCAAGATACTACATGTGGACGCAGGATAGCTCACGCTTCTTCAAGAAAGCTCCCCCCACCAGAGGGCGGGGTAACTTCCTTGAAGAGGCGCGCGCACGAATGATTCGGTTCCTAGATTTTTAGGGACACTTAACTTCACACTGTCGGTATCCGATCCCTTGCTCACCAAGAATCAAAACATTTCCAGATGGACCAGATCGAACCTCATCTTAAGTTGTTCCTTGTCATTGCTTTTCAGTAGAGGGACATCACTTGATAAGGAAGGGCATGGTTAACAAAGCGTGGAGGGTGTACTGTATCTGATGTATGTGAGCTGGGGTACAAGAAAGAGACGTTCTATGAAGTTAGTGGAACCCCTGCTTAGCTTGCCTCACTCAGCATCTCCTTGACCGGTGGCAAGTGCTGCACCTCCTTCAGCATGCCCACGTACCTTTGCTCATGGACATGCTGGGAACTGGGAGGATTACTTTGTTGTAGCAAACTTCCTTCCTTAACACATGACTTGAACAGTTGACGGCTGAGAGGGTGAACTAAGCCATGCCCACCTCCCTGTTGTCTCTCCTCAAAATGACCCTCCAAGCTTCCGAACGGTGCAGTGGGAAGCCCCGGAAAGATGAGGCCCACTGGCTCTGGTGCCTGCAACAGGCATAGTTTCACAATGTTTCACATACTTTCCTCATGTTTCATCAGGATACAAGTTGACAAGTCAATAACAAAATGATTGGAGCAGAACTTGCGTCCCTCCATGTCACCATGTCTCTTCGCTTGCACTGTGTCCTGCTACCTTATTGCACTTTCCACCCAGTCATCGTCTCAACACCTTCAGCTTTTGCGGCGGTGGTCTAGCGCCACGCAAGAGCCTTTGCACTTCCTGGCAGGGATGCCGAACGAGCCGGCAAATTCAAGTACATCATCACGTGATGCGGACTCCCATTTTATGATGAATGAGGAGGAAGTCTAAAGCTCAAGACCCAACATCAGCGCTGAAAGATATGCAAAAATACTGCACCGAAAGAGCGACAGCATCTTTCTGCACATCTGCTGAAATGTCTCTCTTAGACTTCTCATACCAACCTCTCAGAGGTGGGTGCTGATCTTTGTCAGCCAAACTGGAGAAGAATTGGCGCGTGCAAAGTGCAGAATGCAGCCCGCCACACGAAGTCGAAAACCCAAAGCTGCACGATTCATTAGTTGCAGTTCAAAAATGTGTAACTCAATTTTTACACATATACTTGCTGATAGGGCAACGTCCAGCACTCAGGTGCAGTGAGCAGCCAAAGAAAACAGAATAGATAAAAATAGCCTACGGGCGGATGTTCATCTACCTACTATGGTTCGGGTGTGTACTCGCACCAAGATTTTCAACTTCCGCGGTTTCAAGAACTTGTATACTTCCAACACGTTCCGCTCAAGCAATCTGCCAAGCAAATGTGATGCTTCAAGGGCATATCCACAAGCTCCTGAATGCTGACTGCCGAATGCAGTTGTGTTATGGTTGTGGTTGTGTCATCATCCCACAAGGTGGTGCAGGTGCCTGGTTTAAACGGTTCAGACAAATGGAAAAAATTAAACGACCATGTTGGAAGATCTGAGGTTGGATTGTGGGAGGTTGGCTTAAACAGTTTAAACCCGTGCTTGTTAAAACCCTTGCTTAAACAGTGGCTCTGAAAACAACTCGCAGACATCATACGGCAGCACACATTTTCCTGCTCCAGCCCCTTTTGGTCTTCTCCTTAGGAGACTTAGAGTACCTTCTTTCGCTTCCGAAACAATCTGATGCTGGGGAGGTTGATCTCCATGGATACCAAACGACCCATCCCTTGCGGCTGCCGGCTGCTGAGTTGGCCCTCTCGGTCGATGCTTGTGTGGCAGGGATGCCCAACCCTGAGCATCCGATATTGATTACAATCAAGATTTGAAAAGTGATATTGATTTCAATGTTTTTTCAATATAAAATATTGATTTCAGAGCCGGCCAAAATCAAGATTTTCTATTGATTTCAAAGGTCATTTTTGAGCATCAAAAAGCAGGAGACAAAATCAAGATCAAAATCAATATCAAAATCAATATTTTCATAGCCACAACCTGCCCCAGATTCCTTTCCACCCAACCAGCAAACACATCTTTTTTCACACTGCATTGCCATGGGTGAAACTGCTGCTTCGGGTGAGACTGCTGCTTTTTCAATCTCTTCTTGCCTTTTCCAAGGGCATGCTTTTGCAAGCAAGTTCCCTTTGTCAAGGGATAGCTTTTTCAAGCAATCCTTTCACAAGGGCCAGCTTTTGCAAGCTGGATTGCTGCTGGCAAGGGCAAGCTTTTACAAGCAAGCTTTTGCAAGCCAATGCACCTGGCAGTGGATGAAGCATGCATCCTTTCTCAAGGACATTCCTTTTCCAAGGTGCTGTGGCATAGCAATGCCCTTTTGCAAGGCTTCCCCAGGAGAACCTTTTGCAAGGGTTATCCTTTTCCAAGGGCTAGTACTTCAATTGCAACCCAAGACCTTTTGCAAGGTCAGACCAGGGCCCTTTTGCAAGGCAGCCCTTTTGCAAGGCCCCTTTCTCAAGGGTCACTGGAGGTTTCCAGCCTGAAGCCTGGTCTGGTGTACAGGAGGTGCAAAAGAATCCTGTACTTGGGCGCAAGCTTTTGGCTGAGTTTTGTTGCTCTTCTGACACCCACTGACACACTATGTGTGAGAGTGGAAATGTGTCCAACAAAATCTTCAGCCTTGAAGCACCAGTGGAATCTGGGGTTGATATACCAAGCATCTTTTGCAAGATGTAAGAAGCTATGGTGCTTGTTGACAATGTGGAATGACTGCCTGTCATTGTCTTTAGACCATGCTTCTAGCCATTGGTATTCAGACATGCATTGCTGCGCTTTTTGCCATGCCTTCTTGTATTCTGACTTGGTCAGAAAGACGCCAGCTTCATCCCAGATCTGAACAACTTCACACATGCATTGCAAGCAAGTGATCACGTGGAAGTGCTCTTCCCTTCCCTGGAGCCATCCAGAAGGTTTTTGCAAACCTTCAGTAGGGCTGGCGTCAGATGTTTTTTCTCAGCACCTTTGGTGCTAAGGAATGCCCAATCCTTCCAAGGACTCTGTGGGTTGGTAAACATCTTCAGGACCAGATTGGTGAGGCGACAAGAAGTCTTCTGCTCCTTGTATACCTCCTGGATTTCCTTGAAAATGATACCCAGCCTTTCACAAGGCTTGACCACCTGGGCCTCTGTATCATACCAGCAACAATAGTGCAGGATCGACCCAAGGAGATGTGCGTGCCTTCTGGGAAGATACCCTTTTACAAGGGTGGCAAGGGCAGGAGGAATCCTTTTGCAAGGTGTCTGCAGGCTTTTGCAAGGATGCCCTTTTGCAAGGGTTCCTCACCCTTTCTCAAGGACCTTTTTCAAGGGGTCACTTGGCAGTGGATGCCTTGCTGAAGGCCTTGTTTGCCAACTGCTTCAGCTCCTTTGCCGCTTCCTTAGCATCCTTGCAGACGGAAGCACACTTCACCAGAGCAGGCTTGAGGACTTCCAGAGAAGGCTTCTTTGCAAGCACATTTTTCAAGTGCGCTTGAGCCTTTTTCAAGGCTTGCAGATTCTTCTCAGTGTCCTCCCTGGCCGATTTGGACAGTCTGGATTTGGCCTTTTCCAAGACTTCCTCCAAATCATCCAGCTGGCTGGAGCAAGCATCTCTTGCCCTCTTGGCCCTTTTCATAACCTTTTCCAAGGTCTCCTCTGGTGGTTGCTCCTCTTCCTCCTCTTCCTCTTCCTGCAGGTCATCCTCCTCCTCTTGGTCCTCCTTGATGGCCAGCACTGGAACCTTGCCTTTCCCTTTGCCTTTTCCCTTGCCTTTGTCTTTCCCTTTTCCAAGGGCTTTCCCTTTTCCAAGGGGATGGGCTTCCAGCTCAATGGCAAGCACACCACTGTGGCCATCAGCACCCCACAGGCTGGCAAAGGCTTCTTCCTCCTGCTCACCTTTGAAGTGCTTCTGCCCTTCTTGACTTTGCTTTCTTTCATGAATGAGGCAGTGTCCTGGTACTCATACACACCAGGGGTGTGTGGACATACCCTCCAGATGATGCGACCACTGGCCAGGTGGGCATCAAACTCTTCTACCTCCATGAGCTGCAAGAATTCTTTCTTGCTAGCCCACTTCTCCTGCTTACTCCAGGTTTGGTCAGTGTCCACTGCCTCCTTGCAGTGGAGAAACCTGGAGCCCCTGTCGCTCTTTTTCAGCCACAGGGCAGCAGCATGGCCTTTCTCAAGCTTGCCCCTCTTGTCATGCACCTTCTTCTCATCAGGGTTCTTTTTCAAGAACCCTTGGTGCTTTTGCCAGAGAGATTGCTGCTCAGCGGGTGTCATAGCCTTTTTCAAGGCCTCAGCTGCCTCTTCTTCATCACTGTGTTCCTCATTGATGGCAGCAATCTTCTCTGAGAGGGACATCTTTCGAAGCCTGCTCAGGTTCCTCTTGCACAGCTTGCCCTTTTTCAAGGGTTTTGCTTTGAGGTTCCCCTTCTGAACAGGCTTGCTGCCTGAGCTGGGGTTTGCCTTTCCCAAGGCTTCCCCTTTGCCTTTGTCAAGGCTGCCTTTCTCAAGGCTGCGCCCTGTACCAAGGGCTGTCCCTTTGGCAAGGGTTTTGCCTTTTTCAAGGCTGCCTTTGCCAAGGCTTTGGGTTTTGCTTTGGGTGTGGCTCCACCCTTCTTCGTTGCATTCTTCAAAATGCCCTTGGGCTTCCCAGCCATGCCTTTCCTTTTTCTTGTTTTGTCTCTATGCGTTTCTTTTCTTTTGGTGTTTCCACTGTAAGCCAAACAGCTATAGTGTACATCATGCATGTATATTATATGGTTCCAAAATTACAATGGTTAGAACTGTGAAAACAACAACAAAAACCGACAATCCACACAAGAAAGCAAATGGTTGGACATCATAATTCACCAAAATATTTATTTAACAAAGATATATTTAGACCTACCAAAACTTGAAAAACCGATTAAGTGTGTTCTTTCAATACATAGGTTCAATGCAAAAATACAAAAATACACATTTTAAAACAAAACGCACAAAAACAACAAAAACTCACAAAAATACAAAATAGTTGTTTTTTAATTGTAAATACAAATAGAAAACTAAAAAATAGAAAAAACTACCAAAAACTATAAATTTAGTTTTTTATGTTTAATTAAAATTTGAACTAAAAGTAGAAAAATACACAAAAACTCAAAAATACAGTAAAACACTATAGAAAAACCAAAGCACAAAATCCAGACACAAAAATGTAAAATATATTGAAAAAACTCAAAAAACACAAAAAAATGAGGAAAATGATGAAATATGATGAAAATGTTTTTTTTTCATTTTTTTTGTTTCTTGTGATTTTTTTAAATATATGTCTTTTTTGTGTCTGGATTTTGTGCTTTGGTTTTGCTATAGTCTTTTACTGTATTTTTGAGTTTTTGTGTATTTTTCTATTTTTAGTTCAAATTTTAATTAAACATAAAAAACTAAATTTATAGTTTTTGTAGTTTTTTCTATTTTTTTAGTTTTCTATTTGTATTTACAATTAAAAACAACTATTTTGTATTTTTTTGTGAGTTTTTGTTGTTTTTGTGTGTTTTGTTTTAAACTGTGTATTTTTGTATTTTTCATTTAATTGATGGATTATTTGTATGGAGTTTTGGACGTGTTTGTATATTTTTGTTTTTTTGATTATTTTTTTATATAGTTTAACATAGTTTTTCTTTATATTTTTAGATTTTGTCATGATTTCTGTAATTAAAAAGCAAAAAAGTATTATTTTTGGTTTTTGTTTGAAGTTTCCATTTATATTTTCCATTAAACAAAGAACCTTTTGGTATGGTTTATGATTTTGTGTTGTTTTTTGTTTTATTTTTAATGCAAGTATATCTGACTTCACATATAGAATTATTGCTTTCAAAATCTATTGAATAACAAACCCTTTTTGTTGTTTTAATTGAAGATTAACTCTGACTATTAAACTTACACTATTTACACTTAAATGCATATAATCTATAAACACACTATATTACATATATATATTTAATAACCTTAAAATTATAATACATATAAATTGATATTTACATTTTCTGTGTTTCATATTAGTTTTTCAAATTCATGTTTGGCTGCCATTTTGGCTAGCCTGCTGGAGTGAAACGCATGCATGGCCTCTCACTCAGCTCTTTTTCAAGAGCTTGCTCTTTTTCAAGAGCTTTTGGCTTGGCTCTTTTTCAAGGGCCTGCAGAAGTTCTAGCTCTTTTGCCAGAGCCTGGGCCTGCCCTTTTCCAAGAGCTTGCTGGGTGCTGGCCCTTTTTCAAGGACTTGGGCGCTGATCCTTTTTCAAAGATCACTTGCAGGAGCAACCCTTTTTCAAGGGTACTGGTGCATCAGGAGGTTCCTTTCCCAAGGGTGCCCCACCTTACCCTTTTGCAAGGGCTGGCAGT